CCCTACATCAATCCATCTCAGTTAAATGCAGAAGAAATGCATAAGATACTAAATGATCAAGGCATAAATTTTGTTGTTAATGGAATGGATGAGATTAACCTCTGTAATAATTTGGGATATTTATATTAATTTGGTGAGCAAATCAATTAAACCTCTTAAAATAGGTGTCTTGGCTTTCTTCCATCTTTAAGTTTTCATACTGTGACCTTTAACCAACTTTACTGTCTTTAGTAAGCATGATTTTCTGTGTTCCTTAAACTTACACAATGTATCCATAAATATTTTTGTTAGTAACAGGCTGAATGGCATGACAACTGAGATAAGTATCAAATTGGTGATAGTATCAATTATAAACAATCATCTATCATAAGCCCACCAGGAGGTATGGGCCCTGTTGCTACTGCATTCTTTGTTCCTTTGTCTTGTCAATCATTAGTACCTGTGTTATGCTTTTTTAAAAAGTACTGTAACAGGTCTATTAGAGAATAATCTGCAGATTGTTGGGTTGTCTGTCTTCTCTGACCCTACATCCCTGTAAGTAAATTACCCTAGAAAAAATTCTGTTATATTCTATAGAATTGCCTACATAGATTTTTGGTCTTAAGATACTTTCTTGTTATGGTGGCCATTATACCTTTGTTCCTCCATCAGATACATATATAGTTACATACTTAATAAATACTCTTAATTGAAAAGAAAAAAATGTATACATCATTGGGACCATCTAGAAGAATCCGACATTGATCTTGCAAACAACAGTCAATCTTTAAAGTGCTATCTTTCATGACCCAATTAAACTGTCAGTTTAAAATGCAACACTATTGTATATACTAAGAAAAATAAAATGGCCAATTAAAATGTGACATAGTGTTTCTTATCACAACAACTGTAAGACACACTATGATTTTAGAGAAGTTAAAATGTAAATAAAAAAGATTTCTTATAAGTGAAGAAATATGGTAGTTGTTATGTCTTCCAACAGACATGAATTATAGCTCTGTCAGTTTAAAATGCAACACTATTGTATATACTAAGAAAAATAAAATGGCCAATTAAAATGTGACATAGTGTTTCTTATCACAACAACTGTAAGACACACTATGATTTTAGAGAAGTTAAAATGTAAATAAAAAAGATTTCTTATAAGTGAAGAAATATGGTAGTTGTTATGTCTTCCAACAGACATGAATTATAGCTCTTATTTCTCTGATCAGCAAGGCTTTTTTTTTTTT